CCTCCCGCGTCGCGGGTGGGCGCTGCGGCCGGGCCGGCCCGAGGAGAGAGAGGGGCGTGGAGGGAGAGAGAGGGAGTCTGGACCCTCAGTCCCCTCAGCTCCCTCAGTCTTTTCAGTCCCTTCAGCTCCCTCAGTTTCTTCAGCCCCTTCAGCTCCCTCAGTCCCCTTAGCTCCCTCAGTCCCCTCAGTCTTCTCAGCCCCCTCAGTCTTTTCAGTCCCTTCAGCTCCCTCAGTTTCTTCAGCCCCTTCAGCTCCCTCAGTCCCCTCAGCTCCCTCAGTCTTAGCTCCTTTAGCCCTCTCAGCCCTTCTTCCCCCTCTCAAGTTCCTCTAGTTCTTCACAGCCTCTGACTTGGTTCCAGCCCTTGAGGCACCACCAGCTCTCCCTGATATCATGCTCACCCTCCTCCCTGTCCTGCTCCTGGAAAAGTGGGAAGAAAGCAAAATATAACACCCCCCCCCAAAAAAAAAAATAAAAAAGAAAAAAAGAGCTGTGCTGTGTTTCCACACACTCAGAGGCAGTGGAACTCTGTGGCCTCGTGGCATCCTTCAAACCTTAATCTGCAGTTTTGCTTCTATACAATGTTTTTGACATTTTTCTATACAATGTTTTTGTTGTTTATGCAAAGTGTAAAGCTTTGCATAGTGTAAGCTTAACCTACCCATTTACTGAAAGTTTTACTTTGTAGTGATTCTCATTCTAGGACGTGTACATAGATGTTTTGGACCCCTCAAAGTTAACAGAGGCTTTTACACCTGGTAGTGGAATTCAGAGTCATCTCACACATCACATTTGTGTCTTTTGCTTTTCCTTCTGCTTAGTGTTTCTTCTTCTTGGATTTCCTGTAGAGTCACCTCTCTCCACACAGTGTGATTAATTCTTATTTCCCTAAGGGTTTTGCCATGGATTTCATGGAAAACTTCATTTGGGTGTTATGGAAACAGGGATAAAGTAATTTGTGGGAGGTTAAACAGCACAATGTGTGTGGAAATAGCAGGTAATCAATGGATGTTTGAGACTATTGCTCAAAGTTCTGTCACACCAACACATCTGTATGAGGTTCATTATGTAGAAGCTAATAAAGCTGCAAACTGGAATTAGAATAGGTCAGGGTTGGATGGGGCTTGGAGCAACCTGGGCTGGGGGAACTGGTCCTTCCAACCCAAACCATTCCATGGATATCAGGTGCTGTATTTGAGGACTCAGACACCTGAGACTGTGCTGCACAAGCCATTGGAGCCAGCTGGGCCTGGAGATCTTCCCAGCAGCTTCTCCAGGCACACTCAGGCCCCTGATGGACACGCAGGGTGGTTGCTGGTGATAAGTGTGTCCTGCACAACCACCACTCAGGCTGAGCCTGAGCCTCCCTGTGTGCCCTGAGAGAAACTCTGTGGACATCCACTTGATGAACTGGGTGACAAATGGATAAACTGTCAGATGAGCTGTGAGTGCTTCATTCAGAGCAATCCAGTCCTGTCACTGCATTTCTGGTACACTGGGCCTACTTTTTCCCTTGAGTGGTGTCTGTCCAGTGCCCTTTTTATGTTGTACTACTAGTGATCACACACAAAAAGCAGTGCAATGTTAAAAGGGCATTGGCCAGCAATACTGTCTGCATTGCTCACTGATGTTATTACAGCCACAGGTCCAAAGTCACTGTCTGGGAGCAGAAGGTGATTTGCAAAACAACTGTAAAATGGATTTACTGCTAATGTATTTGATTTTTTTATCCATTGTCTTCTACTTCTTTGCCAAGGACAAACATTAAGTGGTTGCTTCCTGACAAATACCATCATTTTTGTGCCTTTCCTTAGCAGTAAGTGCCCTGCAAAGAGCAAAGATCACTCTCCAGCATTACTAGATCCTGCAGGGTGCTCTAGAGAAATGTTACACCCGAGAGTCCTCAAACTTCCCATGAAGTTACTGCTTTGTTAGAAACAAACACCTTCGCTGAGGTTTATGATATCTCCCCACGGTGAAGATGCTCTGACACCCACATGGTGACAACCCCCGTGGAATGTGCACCCACAGAGTTGGGGAATGAGTGTTGAAGTGCATTTTAAAGGGATTCAGCACCTGAAAGTTGCACAGAGTAAACTCTGCTGTCCAGAAATTGTTTCCTGTGGTGCAGTTTAAGAACATCTGATAGCAGTTTAGAATCTTTGCTTGCTACCAGGCAAATCTAAGCAATAAACACACTTGGAAATGTAGTTTCCAGTTCAAAAAAGAGCATCAAAATGTTTGAAATTGAATTTCTGTCGAGCATTTTGTTGGGTGGTTTGTTTTTTCTCCCTCTTTTCAGTGGAATGACAGGAATTATGAGTAATAATGCCTTGAAATATGTGACTTCTTGTGTGTTAGGACTTGGTGCACATTAACCTTGTCCAATTCTCTGCAATCTACAGAAACCACTGTCTGAGTTGTCCTGTTTTTTCCCCTTTTTGAGTGATTGATTCTTGCACAGAGTTGTTGCTGCTAACGAATGCTCTGACTTTATTGCACTACTGTACTGTACAGCTAGCAGTGCAATAGTATTGTCAAAGCATCTGAGAGCAGAGCACACAGCCTTCACTTTCTAACCCTTTCTGCTGACTAAATTACACATTTGCACTTCCAAACCTGCATTTTCGGTGTGATAGTTGTAAAATGTTTATTGTACAAACAGTCCTGACCTGTAACATTGAGATTTTGGCAGGTTTATGTTTCCTGAGATGCAGCAAGAAATAATTATTTATAAAACAAATTAGAAATTTGCAGCTTCACATCCAGTTTTTAATGTCCTGAATCATGGAAATGGTGTCAGAGTCTTATGGAAACCTCAAATTAGCAATATTGAGTATTTCATAGATAATTTTGAAAGCACATTCATCATCTCCCAAAAATTAATGCAGGAGTTGGAGGAAAGCAAAAAAAAAAATTTTGAGTTTCCTGCCTGTGGAAATGAAACCCTAAAGAAGTTTCCTAGTGGAAAATAGAAATGATTGAGCAGTTAAGGGAAAAAAAAATCCCTCATGGACCTTTAAAATAGTGTAATAAGTGTTTTATTCTTGGATTTCTCATGGCTGGTTCTGGGGCAGGTGTGGGAAGGAGTTTAGTTGGGCAGATGCTAAGTTCTGGCAGTTCTGGGTCAGAGCTTTCCCTTTGATTTATAGGTGCTCAAGCTCTTTACTGGATTTATTTTCCATTTCTGAAGTCATTATTAGAAAATTCACTGGAGGGGTGTGAAACATCATCCATCTTCCCTCCCTGGGGAAGGGGTTTTATTGGAGATCAAACCCTGCTCCTCTGGGCTGTCTGATCCAGCTCCTCAGAGGCATTAGTGGCCATTCCTTAAGGTGGATCCCAAAACTGATGTTTGAGACATCAACCTTCCCTTGGTGTCCAAGCCTGACCACAGGCTATGGATATTTATCCCTTCAGCTGCCATTGTAGCACTGCCAGATAGGACTTTGGGATGCAGGTAACAAAACAACCTGATTTTGATCCTTGGAAGAGTTGGAATGGTCACTCTGGGGTTAATCTCGTATCAACAGTGAAAACCAAATGAAGGAAGTTACAGCCATTTCTAACTTGCTCTCATCACTGTCTCTTCTGTGACTGTAAAATCACTGAGTTACTCTGTTACAGCATTAACGAGTTGGCTGTGAGCTGGGAAAACTTTCTTTCCTTGAAGTGGATGTCTTTAATAGGTATTAAAACTGCAGCTTAGAATTAATTAAGTAACAATGCTATCAGCAGACTGTTTTACAAGGCAATTAGGTAATTCTCTGGTGGCTTATTTATCCCAAGGAAAGAAAAGTGATGTCATCAATTTTATTAGCTCTCAGTCAGGCTGGTTATTAGGGAATAATACCATGTGCTGTGGGTATTAAACCCTCTGAAGAACAGATCTCTAGTATTCAGGAACAAAGTCTGTTGGTACTTTGAGTCCTCAACACTTATCCATGAGCTCTGCTGTGTCAATAACAGAACTTAAGTTTGAAAATATGAAGTTTCAAAGTTCCTTTTCTGGTCCCTGAGCCTTGCAGAGGAGGCAGCTGAGTTCTGTGGCACAGGAAAGGCAAATGCTTGGGGTTTATCTGCAGGTTTTGGTTTTGATACACTGTGCCTGACCTGAAATGTTTCAGTTCCAGAAGGCAGAATCAGATCTGGATTACATTCAGCACAGACTGGAGTTTGAAATCACGAGTAATCTCCCTGATAACCTGGCAGCAGAGGTAGTATTTTTGGGTTAAATTCATACATTTTACTGCATTTTGCATGAGGATGGTAATAAATGGGTATTTTCCTTTAAAACTCAAATATATGTGGTTGTTATTTTATCTAGTTATGGTTTTGTTCTTATAGTAAAGCATTTCCTGCATCATATATCAAGATAACTGGACTGATAGGAGTTCCAACTTCTTGATATGAGTTCAAACAAAACCGGTTTGTTGG